CCCCTCCCCTCCATGCATCTTTCTTGTCTTTCTTTCTTTCACAGAGTTTCACTCTGTCACCCAGGCTGGAGACTTCGATCCCCACCTCCCAGGCTCAAGTGATTCTCCTGCCTCAGCCACCTCAATAGCCAGGATTACAGGCATGCACCACCAGGCTCAGCTAATGTTTGTATTTTTAGTAGAGACGGGAGTTTGCTGTGTTGCCTAGGCTGGTCTTGAACTCCTTAGTTAAGCGATCCGCCCGCCTCAGGTTCCCAAAGTTCGGGGACTGCAGACGTGAGCCACCATGCCCAGCCACTCTATCTTGATCTATGTTTGATCTGGGGTCTAACTTTGATCTGGAGTCTGCTTGTTAGGTTTCATTTCAGGAAAGATATTTGAGGTCAGAGAGAGTTTGAAAGCCATGGTGGGTGTCTGGGGCAGAGTTCTGGGATACTCAGCTCCCCTGAGAAACATGACATGAGTTGGGGTGCAGGAGCCAGGGTCGGCCCTCGAAGTGTGCATCGATGCCTTCAAAAGCCAGCTGCAGTATTTGGCCACTTGTGACCCCAGGCACCTGCCATCAGCCCTTGCTCCTCTCTCTTGGCTTGGATAGGACAGTAACTGCCACTTGGCGCCTCCTGGAGAACCATTTGGAACATGTGGTACTCAAGAGCGAGTCACTTATTTTTTGCTGTGTGGCAGCAGGGCCTCCCTAGATGCGACATAGTGGGTGCTTGCAGGGAAGTAGAGTAGTGGAAGTACCTCCTCTCTCCCCACACATGGGGATTGGAGATGAGGCAGCTGATCCTGCCTGCTTGAGTCTCAGCTGTTATTTTCCAGGTAGGCAGCCCCAGTGGGAGAACCCGTGTGTCCGCCGGGCTCTCTTTAAAATGCACCCAGTGCAACCCGGTCCTTCTTGTGTAAACTTTCTCCCACTGGCCGGATGGTTTGCTTCTATTTAAGGCAGTGAGAGTATTTTCTCCGGCATGCTGCCCCCAGCCTTTATTTTGTCCCAGGAAGGCCATTCCTCGAAAGGGAAGCCGAGCAGGGGTTACACTTTCCAGCAGCAGGGATTGTCGGTGCCCACCCCCACAGCAGGCCTAGAACCTTTGCCAAATGCCCCTCTGCCTGGAGGGACTGTGTTTGTAACTTGACTTCCTCTGTCCCCTCCAGACCTGCTTGTGCTGTGTTTTATTAGGCAGTCATGAAGGTCTCCGCCCATCTCCCACCCAGGCAGCCAGCCTGGTGCCTCTGTCTCTCTATGCCACAATTTTTCTGTTTCCAGGTTCTGTTGATTTTCCCTCTGGATATTTCCTTACCCACTCCCCTCTCTGTCCTTCTGTTCTGTGACCCCAGGCAGTCTCCCAGTCCCCTTACCTCTTACTGCCAAGCTTCTGGCTGGCATCCCCACCTCTGGGCTCTCGCTCCCTCAGCCCAGCCCCCACCTGGCAGAATGATCTTTCATTAAGTATATCTCAGTCACTCCCCTGCTCTAACCTTTCCTGGCCTTTCATAGTCTTTAGGTTAAAGTCTAAGCCCTGGAGAATGGTTTACAAAGCCCTTCCCAGTTTGGTCCTGGCAGCCGGGCAACCTCACCCCTTGCCACTCCCAACTCAGACACCAGCGACTCCTGCACAGTCTCTCCCTGTCTCTGCATGTGCTGGTCCCAACCTACTCCAGCCAAATGTCACTTGCTGACAGAAGCCTTCCTGGCTTCCCCTCTGTCCCCTCCCCTTCTCCGAGCTGTTATTTACCTGCCTACCTGCTGACTAGGCTCCTCATGGGCACTCACCTTAGTTCCCTGCCTGCAGGAGGCCTTTGGCATGTGATTCTTGTGTATTGATGACTTTCCCACAGGGTCAACCTAGAAGCCACAGAAGGGGTTTTGTAGGGCTTTTAAGGGGCACATGGAATCTGTTATTCTTTAATATCGTTAATATCTGCAAAGTTGCCTTCCCAGCAGATCTTCACTTCCCAGTGTCTACACGGTACCTTTTCCTCTGGGTGGCAGTGATGATTGGCCTGAGCCTGTTATGAGATGATTCATTCCCAGCCTCCCTTGCAGTGGGGGTGCCCATGTTGTGTGCACTTCTAACCAGTGAGATGTGGCGGGAGACAGAGTTTCTTTTCTTTTTCTTTTTTTTTGAGACAGTCTTGCTTTGTCGCCCAGGCTGGAGTGCAGTGGTATGGTCTCGGCTCACTGTAACCTCCGCCTCCTGGGTTCAAGCAATTCTCATGCCTCAGCCTCCTGAGTAGCTGGGATTATAGGTGTGTGCCACCATACCCGGCTAATTTTTGTATTTTTAGCAGAGACAGGGTTTCACCATGTTGGCCAGGCTGGTCTCGAACTCCTGAGCTTAAGTGATCTTCCCACCTTGGCCTCCCAAAGTGCTGGTATTACAGGCATGAGGCACCGCGCCCAGCTGGGAAAGAGTGTTTCTTCTTTTACAAAAGGTTAGCTGTTTCCTCCTGGCCCCTTCTTCCCGCCTTCCAGATACTTTGTGGGAGTTATCAGGGGCTTTGGCAGCTGTCTTGTGACCATGAGATGACAGGCATGTGGACAAAGGTTTACCATGGCGAGCATGGCAGAATAGAAGCTTGAAAGGAGCCTGGATTCTTGCTGACGTCAAGCTGTTGAAACACCCCAGAGACCCCACTCCCTCCTAATGTTCTGTCCTTACGACTAAAGCCATTTTTAGTCAGCACTTAAAATGAGACACATCTTTGCTCATGATTCTGAGCTTGTCAGAATTGTTTTTTGTTATACAAAAACTAAATGCATCCTTGGCATAAGGACTGGCCATAAGTGAAACAAAACTTTGAAGGCCAAAGGTGCGTGCCAAAGAGAAGGATGCCAGTGCTTTGAGTGTAAGAAAGCATTGATGTAAGAAGTGTGGGTGCCCAAGAGGATGACCGTCAGGCGTCCTGTTCACGTGGGCATGTTATGCCAGAAAACAACTCACACCCTGTTAGGAGAAAACTTAAAGCCTCTTGTAAGTAGCAGATTGTCAACATGAATGAAAAATCTTCAGGAAATGTCCAGAAATAGAATTTATTGGCATGAATGTCTCAGAAGGTCCAGAGATAGGCCCGGCAGGTTTCAGCCCATGAAGGACTCAAATGTATTGTCTTCAGAAATATTTCTTCACTTTTCAGGCTCCTTGTGAGTTATTTTGGGTGATCTTGTGCCAAGTCATGTGAAACTGGTTGCCCGCAGCTCCATCCCTTGGGCTTCACAGCCCTGCAGGAAGCAGATGTCGGGCTGGCTGGGGCTGGCTGGCTCTGGCTGGCCTGGCTGCGGTCACATATGTATCGTGCTTGCCTCCTAGGACTGCCATAACAAGTCACTGCGAACTGCATGGCTTAAGAGAACAGAAATCCATTCTCAGTTCTGGAGGCTGGGAGTTGGACTCAGGGTGCCAGCAGGGCTTTGCTCCCTCTGAAGCCCTGAGGGGAGGAAGCTTCCTTGCCTCTGCCAGCTCCTGATAGTCCCAGGGCACCTTGGCTGTGGCAGGATCACCGCAGTCTCTGCCTCCATCCTCATTTGGCCATCCCTACCTGGGTGTCTGCGTCTTCACGTGGCTTTTTCCTTTTCCTATAAGGACACTAGTCATATTGAATTAGGGCCAACCTAATGGCCTCATCTTAACTTGATTATATCTGCAAAGACTCTGTTTTCAAGTACAGTCACATTCGTAGGTCCTGGAGATTAGGATTTCAGCTTATCTTGGTGGAGGACAAAGTTCAACCCGTAACACCCATCCCCAAGCCAGCCACTTTGGTCTGGATGACATGAGACTCTAGCTGGCCAGGCCTGTATCACCTGCCCACCCCAAAGTGAGTGTGTGGGTCAACCCCCTGGAATTACGTGGCTTGAATGTTGGGGAGGAAGGTTCTCCAAGGGAACTAAGTTGAGGGCAGGCCACAGATGGAAACTTGGCAAAAGCAGTGGTGGTGGTAATGGTTCACCAGCAGCCCGGCTTGGCCTGAGGCCCCAGCTTTCCAGTCCAGAGTGGTCCATTGGTCTGACTCTTCTCTCCCAGTTCAGTACCCTCTTTCCCGACTTCCATTCTTTGATCTAGGGGAGGGGGCACTTAGTTGGGTTAGAGGTGGATGGAGAGGGAAAGGAGACCCAAAGCAGGGAGGCCCTTGTGATTTCCCTACCGGCTGCCTGCTCTGGGCTGGAGCATGGGCCTCAGATAGCCTTGTTGCCGGGCTGCATGTGCGGCTTTGAGGGGTTCCACCGCACAGAGCTTCTGATGCGGGGACACAGCCTGGTTGGGTTAGCTAGTGACTGAGCTTTGATGATAATGAACCATTGTTTGTTGCCTTTTTTTTTTTTTTGAGGTGGAATCTTGCTCTGTCACCAGGCTGGAGTGCAGTGGCACGATCTCAGCTCACTGCAGCCTCTGTCTCCCAGGTTCAAGCAATTTCCCTGCCTCAGCCTCCTGAGTAGCTGAGACTACAGGTGCACACTATTTTTTTGTATTTTAGTAGAGACGGGGTTTCACCATGGCCAGGATGGTCTCAATCTCCTGACCTTGTGATACACCTGCCTCGGCCTCCCAAAGTGCTGGGATTACAGGCATGAGCCACGGCGCCCAGCTGTTTGTTGCTTCATTCACTAGTTTTTCAGCTGCTGTGGGAGAAGGCTATGGAAGTGTGCAGTCCACAAGAAATGGAAAAACACTGATCCCCTGATTCTGTCCTGTGCTTTCCAG